AGACCAATCTGAGCTGAATATCACCTTGCTCAAGCTAAAAAAGAAAGAGTTAAATTTTGGGAAGTTAAGAAGAAAAAACTGGCTTAGGCAAAACAAGCCCAAAAGGGAAATTAAAAGAATAACCAAGCTAGCCAAAGCAACCAAAACAATAGGTTCGGACAAGGAAACTGACCTCCGCAGAATAATCAGAATTCAAACAAAAGGAAGAGGAATTTTGGTGGGAATTGAAACTTTAACTCTCGTAACCATCAGCAGAGGCAGGATCGTAACACAAATATAGCTGACTTCCCTAAGTGCGGAAGGAAACATCCTGGGGAGTGTTAATACGGAATGAATAGTTACTATTATTATGGCAAAGTGGGTCACTTTGCCAAGAACTGTAACCAGAATCTGAATAGGCAACTCGCCAATGAAGTAAATACAATGTAGATGAAAGTTGAGGAAATGCAACCTCAATAATTCAGAATAGAAGTTTCACTGCAGATCAATGCCAGATTGCCATCATATATGAAAGATGATGTGAAAGCTGGCACATCAAGAGTGGTAACAGGTCAGCTTACTATTGCTCAGCACTCAGCATACGCATTATTTGATTCTGGTGTATCGCATTCGTTTGTAGAATTTGCTGAGAAATTAAGTTATGCTAAGAATATAATTGGTCAGACATTTAGGACTACCCTGCCCTCAGAGGAGATTCTATTGTCTGAATTTAGACTAAGATACCTACTGACAGTCATAGCTGATAGGGAACTATACACAGATCTAGTCGTATTAAAGACAATTAACTACAATGTCATCCTAGAAATGAATTTCTTGGGAAAATATCAAGCCACTATCGACTATCACAATAGGAAAGTGATTTTCTAACCCGATGGAGAGGAAGTTTTTGAGTATGTCGATCACTCTAAATGCACCCCCACCTGAATGATCAATGCAATCGAAGCAAAGAGATTACTTTCTAATGGTTATGAAGGATATCTAGTTCTTGTTGTGGATACGACTGAAATTGATAAGTTGCAACCAAAGAATGTGCCGATAGTCTAAGACTTTATGGAAGTTTTCCCAGAAGAATTACCAGCATTGCCACCGGAACGTGAGATTTCATTTGAAATTGAACTTTTACCTGGAACGACACCAATTTTTAAGGCCCCTTATAGAATGGCTCCAGTAGAGCTCAAAGAGTTACATACACAGCTGCAAGAGTAATTGGAAAAGAGATTTATTTGACCAAGTTATTCGTCTCGGGGAGCTTATGTTTTATTTGTAAAAAAGAAAGATGGCTCGTTGTAAATGTGCATTGATTATCGTGAACTTAGTAAGGTCACGATAAAGAATAAATATCCTTTGCCCAGGATTGATCACTTATTTGATCAACTTAAGGGGCGGCAATATTCTCAAAGATTGACTTGCAAACTAGTTACCAGCAATTCAAGATTAAGGAGCAAGATATATCAAAGACGGCTTTTAGAACGCGTTACAGGCACTACGAGTTTCTTGTAATGTCGTTTAGACTAACCAATGTGCCGGTAGCATTCATGGATTTGATGAATCATGTTTTCAAGAAATACTTGGATAAATTTGTCATAGTTTTTATCGATGAACTACTAGTTTTGGCTCAATAAAGTTCATTTCTTAGGGCATATAATCTCAAAAGATGGTATCTCGGTGGATCCAACAATGATTGAAGTAGTGAGTAACCGGCCCGCACTAAGAAATGTGACAGAAATTCCTAATTTCTTAGGTCTGGCCAAATATTACAGGAGATTTGTAGAAGGATTCACAAGCACCACTTACTATCCTCATGCGAAAATAGAAGAAGTGTGAATGGACTAAAAGGTGTGAGGAAAGTTTTTGAGAACTAAAACAAAGAGTAACTACTGCACCAATCCTTACCATCCTAACTAATCGAGAAAAGTTTGACATATACAGTGATGCTTCCAAATTAGGACTTGGAGCAGTATTGATACAAAATGGGAAGGTAATCGCATACGTATCTCGACAATTTAAGAATCATGAGAGGAATTATCCTACTCATGATCTTGAATTGGCAGCAGTGGTCTTTGCTATGAAGATATGGAGGCATTATCTATATGGTGCGCAAAGTTAGACATGGAAGCATGATTAATTATTTCTTTACCCAGAGAGAACTTAATATGAGGCAACGTAGATGGTTGGAATTAGTAAAGGATTATTGTTGTTTGGGAAAATGTGACGGACACCTGGACGAGCGATAGTGCGACACGTGGCCTTAACTACTCCCCGCCAAGTGACAACCCTTGACGTCTACAGCCCTAAAGAGCCGAAGCACGAAGTCCAACTCAGGGCGACGATTCCTTCTGGCGTCGACAGAAGGTGTCGTCGAGCTTAAGGAACAAAGATCCCTCGCTCGCAGAATCAACCACCAAGAAGGATGATTGGGCTAAGCAGCGCGCTGCCGATGAGGGGAACATTCTCTAGAGGACGTGGCAAGTTGCGTACAAAGGTGGAGGATGTCAGCAGGCATTAATTGCAAGCTCTTAAACTGCCCCACAGGGGACAGGATAATGTTACAAGGGCGCACAGAGCCGTAATAGAAGACTAATTGGCTGAGTGAACAGTGCTTATTAGTGGGCTACGTCTGGGCCTAAAAAGGGAGAGCACTCGAGTACTTCTGCCTAGGAGGGAAACCCACCCAGCGAAGAAAGCCCAATATAAAAGAAGGGTGACCCCCAACGAGGAGGGGGTTGGAGATCTAAGGAGAGAAAAAAAAAGAGTGAGAGATAGCAATTAATTTAAATTGTAATCCCCTTAAAATGAAATATACAACCACAGTGGATGTAGCTCTAATTTTACAGAGTGAACCACTATAAAACTTCTTGTCTTCTTTACTTATGCGCATAAAAAAAACAATAAACTTTCACACATATTCAACACATAGGCCGGTAATCCAAAGGGAAACCAAGAGGTAACCCGGCCGATTTTTGTTGATGAGAAATCACCGTCAACAATTGGTGACTCCACTAGGGACCGAAAGCATTCGACCCCCAACAACATAGTTAGCAAGCGCGCCTCCAAGAGAGACGGACAAAACTGCCATCCATCCAGGGAATAGTGGGATGGAAGGAGATCTATGGCCTGTCGGAGATGAAGTCCCACCCCCAGACCCGCCACGGCCGGATCCTGTGCAGATGCAGGCCCAACTGACCACTCTAACTGAGCTGGTACGTGGGCTGATGACTGTGGTTGAGCGCTTAGACGGGAGGAACTCTATGCCGCCCTTAGAAGACGCCCCGAGGCTATAGGAACCTGCCATGGCTGGAAACCCGAACCCCGGGGACCACCCACGCATCCAAGAGGGAACCGGGGACAGCGAGAATCACCGGGGCCCTCCCAGGCCTCGGCCTTCCCAATCCTCTGGCAGCCGTTTAAGGGCCGCCAGACTCCGAGTTCCCGAGGACCGGGCACCAAGAGGTCTGGGAAATCCCGAGGTATTACCCCAGAATCCAAGAGGAAACCCACTAGGACACTCGGGATCAGTACAGGCGGGCGGTCAGGCCAGGGGCGGACCCAACGCTCAGAGGGCAGAGGCGTCGAGAGTAGCTGGCTCGGCCATTTCAACAGAAGAATCACGTGCCATCATGGAACGTATGGCCAGCCTGGAGCAAAAACTGACGGGGGACGTGGCAGGTCTAAAAAAGAACATGGGGCGAGTGGCTGAGGTGGTAAACGTCGACATACGCCCAGCCGCACACATGACCATCCATTTACCGAAGAGATAATGGCGCCCCCTCCCCCCGATAAATATAGGTCACCGTCGATCCTACCATATGATGGTCGAGGGGATCCCGATGACTATTTGGAGATGTACACAGGGCACATGCTCTTGTACAGGTACACTGAAGAGATCATGTGCCGAGCCTTTCGGAACCATTTGACGGACTCTGCCCAAAGATGGTTCCGGACGCTGAGGCTAAACTCTATCTCGACCTGGGATGAGTTGAAGGAAGCATTTTCTCTCCAATTCATAGGGGTTAAAAAGTACGTCCCCCCGAAGCAGAATCTGACGGCAATATACCAAAAGCCGAACGAGTCATTAAGGGAATGGCTCGCGAGATATGGCGAAGCGGTCACCGCCACGACGGATACAACAGACAGAGAGGTCTTGATGGGGGCTTTATCTAGCATGAAGAAAATTACCCCCTTCAAAAGAGAGCTGAACCAGAAACCCCCATCCAGCTACAGGGAATTTCTGGCGCGAGCGTAGGGGTACATCAATGCCGAAAAGGCGGATGCAAACGACCCCGAGCACAGGTCCAACAAGAATAAAGGAACCGAGCAAGGGTCGACGCCTGTGAAACAAGACGGGAAGAAGCATCGAGGTGGAAGAAACGGAGATAAGCAGCCAGCTGCGATGACGAGCGCTCCAGAAGCCTAGAAGCCGAGGCAAGAGGATACCCGTAAGCCTCGACTGTTCCAAAAATATGATTCCTACTACGAGCTAACGGTAGGAGTTAAGGAGGTCTTCAATCAGGTCGGCCGTGGGAACTTGCTACGCCGACTGGAGCCGATGAAATCAGATCCCAGCCGAAAGAACCAGAAGAAATTCTGTAGGTTCCACGGCGACGTCGGCCACCACACCAACGATTGTGCCGACTTCAAGGATGAAATCGAGAGGGTGATCCGCGAGGGAAGGTTACAAGAGTTCAGGGCCAAACGGAGACCTCAAAATAACGGCCACAGTGGGCAAAATGACGGCCGACGCCGAGAGGAGAATCAGCGTCCAGAGGATCGCGAATTCGTCGGCGTCATACGGACTGTCCTCGGCAACCCCTATATAGAAGGAGGCTCAAGAAGGTCTCAGAAGGACTACGCCCACGAGGCCAAGGGGGTTTACCAGGAGCGATTCTGGAGCATCTCCGCTGCAAAAAACCCCAAGGTACAGCCACACCGACGTAGCCTTTAATAAGGATGATGCCAGCGGAGTTCACTTCCCCCACAACGACGCATTGGTGGTGGAAGCCATGATAGAGAACCACACCGTGTGCCGCATCCTGGTAGACAATGGGAGCTCGGTGGACCTCCTATACTCCGACTGCTTGGAGAAAATGGGGATCCAAAAGGAACAGTTGGAAAAGACCTCCATGCCACTATATGGTTTCACCGGGGACTTCGTCATCCCCCAGGGGACCATCCGGTTGCCTATAACCGCCGGAGAGAAATCCCGACAGGCTACCACAATGGCCAACTTTGTGGTTATAAAGGGAGGCTCCTAGTACAACGCCGTAATTGGGATACCAACCCTCCACGCGCTAAGGGCCATAACTTCCGTCTACCATCAAAAGGTCAAGTTTCCTACCCCAATTGGTGTGGGCAAGATAAAGAGCAACCAGTACAAAGCTAGGGTTGCATACTCTCATGCCCTGCGCGGATATGACCAGCTAGGAAGACAGGAGACTAGGGTGGTTTATCAGAACCCCGTCGAGGACATAAACCCCAGGGTTCAAGAGGAGGTCACATGGTCTCAACCCATCGAGCAATTGATGGAAATTCAAGTTGATGAAGGTGAGTCCATAAAAGTACTGAAAATAGGCTCAGACTTAGCCCCATCACTTAAAATTGAGATCGAGGGCTTCCTCAGGAAAAACTTAGATGTCTTCACTTGGAATCACGCCGACATGGAAGGGATCGACGCCGACGTTTTATGTCACTCCCTAAACGTCGACCCCTCATATCCTCCCAAATGCCAGAAGTGTCGACCAATGAACCCCGAGAGATATGAAGCATTGAGAGAAGAGGTCAACAATCTAATCAACAATGGCTTCATCAGGGAGGCCCGTTACCCACGTTGGGTATCGAACCCTGTTATAGTGATCAAGCCCAACAGGGACTGGAGAACATGCGTCGACTTCAGTGATCTCAACAAAGCTTGCCCAAAGGACATCTTTCCACTCCCACGGATAGACCAAATGGTTGACGCCACGGCAGGACATGAGATGCTGAGTTTTATGGACGCCTACTCCGGATACAACCAAATCCTCATGCACCCAGCCGACGAGGATCACACGTCCTTCATAACTGATAGGGGCCTCTACTGCTACAAGGTGATGCCTTTCGGACTAAAAAATACAGGGGCTACCTACCAGAGGCTCGTAAATAAAATGTTCGCTCAACAGCTCAGCAGGACAATGGAGGTCTACGTCGACGATATGCTTGTGAAAAGCGTCAGGGCCAGCTAGCACGTTGACCATCTGGGGGAAATGTGTGGTGTACTGAGAAAATACCACATGAAACTTAATCCCCAAAAATGTGCCTTTGGGGTTGGGTCAGGGAAATTCCTCAGTTTTATGGTCAGCAACAGTGGGATAGAAGCAAACCCCGAGAAAATTAAAGCCCTACAAGATATGCGGTCCCCAACTAAGCCAAAGGAAGTGCAAAGGTTAACAGGATGTGTCGCCGCCCTAAACAGGTTTATATCAAAAGCGACAGACAAATGCGTCCCCTTCTTCGACGCTTTAAAAGGAAGCAGGCGTTTTGAGTGGACACCGCAATGTGAAGAGGCCTTCCAGAACTTGAAGGAACATTTGGGCAAGCCTCCAATTTTGGCAAAACCAAACCCCGACAAAGAGCTCAGCCTATACCTTTCCGTGTCCTAACACGCCGTAAGCTCCGTACTGATAAGAGAAGAAGAAAGGGTACAATTGCCAATCTACTATGTGAGTAAGAGGCTCCTCGACGCTAAATCAAGATACAGCGAAATGGAGCGCTTAGCCCTCGCCCTGATGATAGCTTCAAGAAAGCTTCGGCACTATTTCCAATCTCATACCATACGGGTTCTTACAAACCACTCGTTGAGACAGGCTCTACAAAAGCCCGAAACTTTCGGTCGACTCCTCAAGTGGTCGGTAGAACTAAGCCAGTTCGACATAAAATATGTGCCAAGAACTGCAATCAAGGGCCAAGCATTGGCAGATTTCTTAGCCGAGTTCTCCCATAGGCCAGCTCCCACCACGCCTGAAGGAGTCAAGACTACAGAATGGAAGCTCTACGTGGATGGAGCGTCGAGCGAAAGCAGGTTAGGAGCCAGCGTCTTGCTGATCAACCCAGAAGGCCACAAGATTACCTCGGCGGTTTGATTTAAACTCAAGGCGTCGAACAATGAGGCAGAATATGAAGTGCTAATCGCAGGACTACGATTGGCCAGCCACCTAAAGATCGAAAGGCTCAGCATCTTCAGCGATTCTCAATTAATCATCGGGCAAGTATAAGAAGAATATCAAGCGTATGGCGAGAAAATGGGAGCGTACTTAAGGAAGGTAAAGGAAGAACTCATTAAGTTCAAAAACTACGAGATACTTCAGATACCACGAACCAAAAATGCAAACACCGACGCTCTGACAAAGCTAGCATCGTCAAGAGAGTCCGACACACTAGGGGTCATTCCCATCGAAGAATTGGAGTGGCCGACTATTGAAGAAAAAGTTAAGGCATTAATCGTCCAAGCTGGTGAAATTTGGATGACGCCACTCATCCAATACCTAATGGACGCACAACTGCCAAACAATAAAGACGAAGCCAGACGAATCAGGTATAGAGCTGCTAGGTACTTATTGTACGACGGCTTACTATAGCGGTGCTTGGATAATGCCGGAGACCAGAAGGTCCTCCACGAAATCCATGAAGGAGTCTGCAGTAACCACACGGGGGGGGAGGGGGCAGTCTTTGGCTCTAAAGGTTTTGAGGCAAGGATACTACTGGCCCACGCTCAAAAAGGACGCTTTTCAATACGCCCGACGCTGCGATAAATGCCAAAGGTATGCCACAATTCCTAGAGCACCCCCAGAAAATTTAACTTCCATTCTCAGTCCATGGCCCTTCACCAAATGGGGGGTTGACCTGATCGGGCCATTACATCTTGCACCCGGAGGCTTTAAATTTGTAATCGTCGCGGTGGACTACTACACAAAGTGGGCGGAGGCAAAGGCTCTAACTACAACCACGGAAGCAACCTGCACCAAATTCATGTGGGATAACATCGTGTGCAAGTTCGGGGTTCCCCACTTAATAGTATCCGACAACGAAAAATAGTTCGACAATGCCTTAACACGCAGATTCTGCGATAGCCTGGGTATTCAAAAAGACTTCTCGGCGCCAATCCATCCATAATCCAATGGACAAGTTGAGGCAGTCAATAAAATACTAAAGTATACCCTCAAAAAGAGACTCGACGATCTAAAAGGGAAATGGGCCGAGGAACTTCCCAAGGTCTTATGGGCATACAAACCGACGAGCCGAACTACTACGGGTGAAACACCCTTCTCCATGGCATATGGCATCGAGGCAGTGCTCCCCATAGAAATTGAAACGCCGACTCTAAGAACCGTCGTCCATAACGACGATGACAACATGGAAGGCATGAACGGAGAACCCAACTTGTTGGAAGAAAAAAGGCTCGACTCCCAACTGTGCCTCGCCGCCTATCAGCAAAGAGCAGCGTGATATTACAACAAGAAAGTTCGGCAAAGAAGGTTCGTCCTAGGGAATCTGGTATTAAAAAGGGTAACGCAGAGTACAAAACCCAAAAATACTGGTCCCCTGGGCCCAACTTGGGAAGGACCTTACTGCATAAGGGAAGTACTACGTCCTGGTACTTACATTTTGGAAAGCCTCGATGGCAAGAGCATTCAATACCCATGGAATGCGGAACAACTAAGGCTGTACTACCAATAGTGTATGTAATTCTTACGCATCCCAATTGTACATTCTTTACGAATTAAATAAATTGATATGTTTGTAGAAAGAAAAGAATTCACCCCTTAATAACATGTCTGCTTAAAAAATCAAGGTTATATCAAATAGACATGGGGGGATAGAGGTCCACCAATCACTAAAAACATGGCACGACGACCCCAAGGGGTAAATTCGACATCAGATCCTCCAAGGAGAAAAGGAGAGCACTTAGCAAAATTCTAAGGAATTTTCTAAGGCAACGACCCTAAGGTGAAATCAGCGTCAAATTCTCCAAGGAGAAAAGATGGACACTTAGGAAAATTCTAAGGAATTTTCTAAGGCGACGACCCCAAGGGGTGAAATCAGTGTCAAATTCTCCAAGAGGGAAAGGCGGACACTTAGCAAAATTCTAAGGAATTTTCTAAAAAAACAATTGCAAAGCAAGGTATGAACAAAATCCGTTATCTTTATAAAAAAAAAGAGGAAAGGTATATATAGATAAAATAAAAAGATGTCCGAATCAACATTAAGTTACAAACACAAAAAAAAAAGACAGGTAAAAATCATTTCAGGCTTCGCCGCCAGCCGCCGACTCATCGCCGTCACCAGGTGGGAAAAGGTTGTCGTCGCCAGCAGGAGGAGGAGAGTTATAAAGGAAGCTCAAGTCCCACTTAGGATGCTCCTTCTTGATCAGATCAATAATTTGTTGACCTGCAGACTGAAAATCCTTGGTGCGGATGTCGGTGAGCTCTGGAGAAGCCTTGAACTCCTCAATAATCTCAGTGCGCCTGGCGTCGAAGGCAAATGCAGCTTTTGCCTCGGCTTCCCTCTTCGCCTCTGTCTTCCCCTCAGCAAAATGCCTCTTCGCTTCCTCAGCTGCTTCAGACAACTTTGTATTGGACAGGTCTGCCCGCTTTGTCAGATCTTCGACCTTAGCATTCAACTTTACCAGTTCTTCTTCCAGACTCGCCAGCTTGGTCACAGCCACGTCCCTCTTCTCGATGGCATCATCTAACTATTTTTTGGCGTCGGTGATAAGGGAGTTGAGCTTGGCTTCCACTTCGTCCATCTCCTTATCGCGCTCCTCAACCTTAACTAGGTCAAGGAGGTTAAGGATGGAAAGAACCAGGCTCTGAAAAGTTGAAGGTCAGAAAAATAGAAATACAGAACGACGAAAAAAAAAACTCTCAACAAAATCTTACGTGGATTTGGAAGGAAATCTGTTTGCGCTGACGGTCGACCAAGGAAGATTGAGCGGCAGCAACCCAGTGTGGCTCGAGGAAAGACTCATAGGGAGCCTGAAAGATGAGGGAGAAGTGGGGGGAAGTTTCAGCATCACCCCAATCTCGGCATCAGATACGTCTGGGACTTGGAACTTGGGATCCATGATCTTAGCCCCCAAAATAAGTACGCGCTCTCTCGGCGCCAGTGGAATGTCGACGTCAAGAATAGGGACTGCCGACGTCCACATCTCTACCACCGGCATTTTTTCCTTACGCCTCTTTTTCCGCGCAGGATCCATCTCTGACCCCGAAGGGCCTTTGGTCTTCTTGCTCCTCGGAACGTGGGAAGAAGAGCAACCTTTCTTTTTTCCCTTCGACGGGGGTTGTTGGCTTGACGGGGATGTTGATTCGACGGTGGCTACTGGCTCAGCCCGAATTGCTGGCGACCAAGAAGTTGGATTCTCAAAGACGCCATTTCTACAGGAAACGACGAGACAAAGATATAGTCAGCGATTGAAAAACTCAAGCCACGATAAAGAAAGGCATTGAAAGCAGAAAATACCCTCGTCGCTTAAGTGAAAGTATTGACGGATGACGTCTAAATTGGCAGGATATGGGAGATCAAGGATTAACCCGGCTCTTCGAAGATTGGCCTGGGTCAGGAGGGTATCTATATGGCGAACCTCGGATGAGAACGAAAAGGCCTTCTCGATTCTCGCCAAGCTGTTCCCAGAGAACTTTGGCCGGTCCTAACTGACTGTAATACGAAAGGAATGTCAGTGAAAGGATGAAAAAAGCAGGGCAAGGTAAAAAGAAAGAAAATCAAAACCTCACCCATATTCCTAAATGACGCCTGCACCATCCTTCGGCGGGGCAAGCGGTCGTCGGGATGAAAGTTGAATGGGCCATGTATCGTAAAGAACATGGGTTTCCACCCATGTGACGACGAGGGGATGCCCAGGATTAGCTTGCCAAACCTAGGCTGGTATCTCCCGTGCCCGCTCAGGAAGTACCACCCTTCGTACTTGGCGATGTGGCATAGTCTGTACATGAACCTAAACTCATCTAGGGGGAGATCCATGTCAAACTATTGATGCCATAGGATCCAGGCGCCAGCAAAGTAGTACCAGAAGTTTGGCGCCAGTTAAGTGGGGGAAATGCCGTAAAAATGGCAGTAGTCTTTTACAAAAAAATGAACTGGGAAGGTCATCCCCGCCGTAACGGCTCTAGTATAAACCAGGAGGTACCCGGTCGGCGGCATGCTGGTCCTAAAATGCATGTCCGGA